AAACCCGTGGCAGCCAGCAGCCCATCACAGTGTTCTGATGGGGCTGTTTCTCCACACAACAATGTAAACCACAGCCAGGGAGGCGGACCAGGGTCAGAACATCACCCACAGAGGGATTCGCACTGTGAAGGTGGGCCACGTTGCATTTGACAGCCAGACAAGGTCAAGGAACTGTGGCAGCAAAAGGGGTAAGAGTGGGCTCAGGCTCCCCTTCTCCACTCTCTAGGCACACCAGTTAGTGGTCCAGGGGCAGGTGATCCCCGAGAACCTGTGCTCTAGCCCTGGAGGTTGATGCATCTGAGGAAGGCAGAGGGACTCCATGCCCTACTCTCAAGCTCAGTCATGTGCCTCTCATAAGCAACCTCTTGTCAGCCATGACCTCTGTGTGGTGGTCCTGGATCCTGCCTCCTGGAATATCCTTTCAGTCTGGCGACATCCCTTCGGTCTGGGGCCCACGTCCCTTACCTGGGAGTCAGACCTCACTTACTTGCAGTGAGTCTTGGTACTAAACAGACACTTGGCTTAGTGGGTTTTCAGTCATAAGACCATTTAAGACAGTTAATTTGAAGGAAATAGGTTCTATTACAACCCTCATTTTATAGATAATCTGGCTAGGGACAGACCTGGGTTCTACTCTTGTCTGTGCCCTTGGGCAAGTACCTCATCTCTCAGGGCCTCAATTTTCTCACCCTATCTGTAAAATGGGGCTGGTAGGAATCAGCAAGATTCTGAAAGTAGGAAGCACCATTTCTTCTCTTCTGCGGCTCTAGGAGGATTAGTACAGAAAATTCTCTCCCAAACACACTGCTTAAATATTTACAAAAAGCTTGCGTATCCTGACAGCGAATCTGGGACCTGAATTTTCCAGGACTATTCCAACTGCAAATCCTCTGTCCTAACTTTCCACATAAACCACCAAAATGTCTCAAAAATTCCACTCTGTCAGTATCCAAACACCTCCCAGGCCTCTTCACACAAAGCAGCGCCACATTCTTTTTCAGACTACAGGTCCCAATCTTTGATTCAGAAAATGAAGTCAGCAGAGCCCTGATGGCCCCCTGAAGGAAACCGGGTCAGGGAGAAAAACCCGTGGCAGCCAGCAGCCCATCACAGTGTTCTGATGGGGCTGTTTCTCCACACAACAATGTAAACCACAGCCAGGGAGGCGGACCAGGGTCAGAACATCACCCACAGAGGGATTCGCACTGTGAAGGTGGGCTCTGGCCCCTCTCCTCACCTACCTACCAAGTACCTGGAGAGGCAGGATGGCCAGAGGATTGCCGTGAGGATCAAATGACTAAACTAACGTTTGGGAGCATGCTGAACAGTCCCCCGACAGCCAGGAAGTACCCCAGGAGAGTTTACTAACTAAAACCAGAGGCATCCCTAGCAGAGGTCATTCCTGCCTCAAAGACAACCCCAAGGCATCACTCCCATGGGTGAAAACAAGAAGGATTGGCACTTCTCTGGGCTGGCTGAGGTCTGGCCTGTGGTCAGACAGGAGAGTACCCCACTGCAGGAGGTGGATCCTACACTGGAGATAGTCGAGACTGGCCTTGAGAAAGCATCACCACATCTGAAATACAGGACATTTCATGCTCCTGCATCTTTGCTCCTCCTTTCTGTAGACCCCAAATGCCACCCTTTTCTACCTTCAATGCTTAGTTCAAATACCATCTACTCCTTATGATGTTTTCCAGTGGCCATTAGAATGAATGGTTGCCTCCCCCATGTCTCTTGCATCTGGCTTAATCTCTTTTTAAGCAGTCATTGGATGGATGGATGGATGGATGGACAGATGAAGATACAAACACACAGGCATGCACACATGCGTCAGTGTCTTTCCAACTCCACCATGAATCCTTCCAAGGCAGGGGCTCAGCTTTCATCTCTGTAGCCCTATGACCTGACACACAATACAGGCTCAATAAATGTCTGAATTTGATGTTAAATCTGAGCCCATTGGCTGGTCTCAGAATAACAAGTTAACCTGGAGGCAGAAGGAGGCTTCTGGTACAAACGCAACTAGAAACTCTATAAATTCAAGATGTCTGGGTCTTAGAACCCATGACTAGATCAAATTTCAGCCAGGGGCCTAGCAAGCACTTAACTTAGACTCCTCTTCAGCCAGAGGAAAGGAGACACCTGTAAGATCAGAGCCTGAGGTCACCTGGACCCAGAAGAGAGCAGTGTGGACACTGACCTGGCCCTATCCTGTCTCTGTTAGCTCTAGTAAAAAGAGCTAATGCTTGGGGAGGCTGCCCAGCTCAGGCCAGCCTGTCTAGGCCCGAGAATGTGCTGAGTGCTTTCGACATTCCAGTCCTGGGAACAGACTCTGGGAAGAGACGAAGAAAGGTCGAGCCTGCTTTCCAGGAATTCATTGTCTGGTGGGAGGAAGGTGAGCCAGACGATCAGGAGCGCTCCTGGGTCATAAGGGAGACAGTATGAATCTCTGGATCCCTCCCAACCTGCCGCAAAACCTGAGGATTGGGAGGAGGGTACAGAGCCATGTCCTCTTGTTCTCTTACTACTCAGAGCTGACCCCTCTGGTAGGTTATGTCCATCCTAGAAATCAGTATGCCTTTGTGCCTGGACCCCTGGCTCAGACGGTCATGATTAGTCCTGCTTGCTCCTGTTTTACTCTAACTTTCCTAGCTTAGTTTCCTCACCTGCAATTGGGAAATGAGGAGGGTGAAAACAATTAAACTAAACCACCTATGTGAAAGCTTCCAGTTCCCAGTCAGTGCTCAAGGAGTGGGTCTCCATCTTCTAAGACCCATTACCATCTTGGAACCTCAACTTCTTGAAGGGATAAGGTTTGTCTCTATCTTGCCTCTCCAACCAGGTCCCTAGGACTTGAATCAGAGTGGTAAAAGTTACCAAAATTGGGCTAGCTGGATGATGATTAGGGTAGCTGGATCCCACACTGCCAACTGCATGGTTTGAGTCCTGGACCAGGAGGCTTGAAAAACACACTGGGTCCATGTGCATGTATGCTCAAAATTCCAAGAGTGGCATGGAGGAGAACAGACTGGTGTGGCCATACCACCTGGGGAGTGCTTTCTCATTTTCCCTCTCTCTCCAACAATTACACACTCCCTATAGCAAAACAAACCAAAACAAAAAACAAACAAACACAAAAACTACCAGGAATACCTTCTGTGTGATAAAAGATGCAGTGAGGACTCAGAAACATGGGTGATGTCCTGTGGGATCCTGAATTTGCCTCCCTGGTCACCTGGCTCTCTCTCCTGCCCAAGCTATCTGTGAGGGCCCATGCCACATCTGGTCCAGCAAAGGCCTAACCTTTCCAGCAGAGAAATTTATCCAGGCACCCTGGATTCACTGGGGTCCACTGGCCTCCTCAGCGTCCTCATCTAACACCCACCTGTCATACAGAAGCAGCTCAATAAATGCTTGCTAAGTCGAATGCCTCAGCTACTCTGAGATCCTTCAGCAACTTGACCTTTCACATGTCCCAGTAATGTCTAATTTACATATATAAATCCTTTTTAGGAGATGGCAAATCACCAGAGACAAGGCAGGATCAATACAGAGTATTAGGCACATTTTATTCTACTTTAATTCTCTGCAAATAGGTATTCCATTAACTGTATGTGGGATTTATGGGAGCTTGCTATAAACTAGAATATTTAACTAGAACGGCCCACTCTGTCAGATAATAGCTCACTGCTGTTAATTTTCAACTAGTCGATCTCAGAAAGGTTTCCAGCTTCCAGTATACTCTACATCTTGATTTACCATCGGGAAAATCATCTATTTGAAAGTCTCCACACAGCAAAGGGCGGCTAGATGTGGAGGATAAAGACCTGCTGTCAGAAGCAGATGTGAGGTGCACCCCGGCTATGCTCCATACTGTGTAGTCAGCTGTGGAGAGCCTCGATGCCCTCATCTGTGAAATGGGAGTAACAACAGACTCACAGGAGGAGCTGGACAGAGTGAGCTGACAGATGCAGATACCCTCTGCAGTTCTACAAGGCCATGCAAAGGTTAGGTATTATCTTAAGAGTACCGGATTCTCAACGCAGGCTAATGACAGAAAGCAGCCATGACCTAAACCAGTGGTTCTAAATGGAAGGGCTATTTTGACCCGCAGGGGAAATCTGACAAGGGGGGAAAGGCAAGTACTGAGTAGAGATCAGGGATGCTGCCACTGCACCATCCTACAATGCAGGTGACAGTCCCCACAACAAAGAACCAGCAAATCCCAAATGTCAATAGTGATCTAAATGATCACTTATGAGTTGGGTCTGGTAGCTTTTCAGAACAGAAATCTTCCTAATCAGGCTTTACATTCTCACATCATCTGCTTAAACATGTGCAAGATGATCCATCTTGCAAAACAGCTCTTTTGTAAGGGAAGCCAAACTGCCCACTTCTGGAGTTCCTGAATGTATAAAACTGCTTTTAAACAAGATGCTCTCTAATTACAATTCGGCTAGTTTTTCCGGAGCCCTCGACTTAAGGAAGAAGTTCTGGGCACAAAGGAGGGTCTGTCACTCCACCACTAGGCCCTGAAGATGCTTTCCTAATTCTAATGTGCTGGTGATATGGGAGCTACGAGGGTCTCTAAACGAATTAAATTCACATCACGCCAACTGCTCGCTGGTTCTGTGCTGGGCACGGTGCCAAACACCTCCACATAATTTATCCCACTTAATCTCTCAACAACCCAGTGAGGTGGGCATTATTACCGGCAGTTTGCAGGGAAGAAAACTGAGGATCAGAGAGGTTAAACAACTCCCCCAAGGTCACCAGCTGGCCAAGGGGGCGCTACACTTGAACAGAGATCTCCAGTTCCCAAGTCACAAACTTTCCACCACCTTGGAAAACCCAGGTGTCATGCTGTCTCAACTTCCCATGAATTTTTAAGGCAACCGCAACTTCTTAGCAAGTTTAGGTGGCTGAAAATGGGAATTTCCGGGGGGCTGGGCACTCTCACATACACTCCCCCACTGCAGCTGTCTCACCACAGGTACCTGATAAATCATTCCATATCGCCTGCGGAACAGGGAGGATTTATTGGCACTGGAGTTTCTGCCAGGCCCAGGAAATGCCATCTTTGAAAGCCGAGAGGCGGATTCACCCTGGGAGCCGAGATCTGGCCGCCAGGCTAGGCTTGCTCCCCGCGGGTTGTGCGCCCCCTCGGTGCCCTGGGCCGGGGTCGCCGCGACGCAAGGCCCTCCGAGGGCGCCAGTTGCACAGGCTCGGCGACTTGCGCCAGCCCCTGCCCAGCCGGAGCGCAC